CCCCCCCCGCGGGGGGGAGAGAAAAAAAACACATATTTCTCTCTCTCTCTAAATAAAAAGAGAGAGAGACACACACACATATATATCTCTCTCTCTGTGTGTGAGAGAGAGAGATATATATATATATATATATATATATATCTCTCTCNCGCGCGCGCGCGCACACACACACACACACACACACACACACACACGTTTCTCCAGCAATTCAAGTTCTGTGTATCATGGCTCACTGTGTGCGTGTGTGCGTGGATGTGCGTGTGTGCGCAGGCTAATCGGCGGCTCAGACAATAAGCTGATCTACAGACACTACGCTACGCTGTACTTCGTCTTCTGTGTGGATTCATCAGAGAGTGAGCTGGGCATCCTGGACCTCATACAGGTGTGTTCCTGACAGCCGACCGTGTACTGCTGATGAGCGTTGTGTGTGTGTGTGTGTGTGTGTGTGTGTGTGTGTGTGTACAGCAGCACAGTGGATGATGGAGATGTGCTGTTCTGCAGATGGTCAGCTCTACATCAGCTGAACACTGCAGGAGATACAGCCGTCTGCAGATGTGCCTCACACTTGTTAAGGGTCCAGAGGTAATTGGACGATTGTCTTCTCAGCAGCTCCATGGCCAGGTGGTGTTATTCTGCTCGTGAGCATGGTGGTGGGGGTGTGATGGCGTGGGCATGTGCGGCTGTCAGTGAACTGCTTCTCCTGTGTTTGTTGATGATGTGATGCTGACAGCAGCAGCAGGATGAGTTCTGAAGCGTCAGTATTCTCTGCTCATATTCCATCAAACAAACCATGACCCAGTGGCCAAGCCAATCCCCTGATCTGAACCCGATTGAGCATGCATTTCACTTGCTGAAGACTAAACTGAGGCAAATGCCCCAAGAGCCAGCAGGAGCTGAAGACGGAGCAGTAGAGGTCTGGCAGAGCACCGGCAGGACTGAAGCCAGCGTCTGCTCATGTCTCTGAGCTCCACTCTTCAGCCTGTCATCCACTGCAGAGGACCTGATCAGAGTATTACACGGGGAACGCTTGAGTTACCATTATTATTCTGTCCCATTACTTATTCTGGACCCTTAACAAGTGTGAGGCACATCTGCAGACGGCTGAATCTCCTGCAGTGTTCAGCTGATGTGGATGTAGACATGCTCAGAGTAGAGCTGAGCGTCTGCAGAACAGCACATGTCCATCATACACTGTGCTGCTGTACACACACACACACACACACACACACACACACACACACACACATGCTGGAGCTGCGGCCACGCCTGAACACTGATGGACCTCACTGTGTGTGTGTGTGTGTTAAAGTGACTATCCCTTCTCTCTCTCTCTCTCTCTCTCTCTCTGTGTGTGTGTGTGTGTGTGTGTGTGTGTGTGTGTGTGTGTGTGTGTGAGTAGGTGTTTGTGGAGACGCTGGACAAGTGTTTTG